GTTGAAATTGGGGCGAGGGTGCTCGGCGAGTATATCGAGTAATTTCCCCGCGACGTGCCGATAAAAGGCGCGTCGCGATAAGGGATAAGGGATTTTCGACGGGGACATTTCTCCGTAAAACTCCCGACTCGAAACTCCCGGCTGCGATCTGAGACACGGCGGATAATGGAATACGTATGTCTATCGGGTATACGTAAGGGGACAATGCGCATAAATCTATTCACGAGTTGATAGATATGCAACGCGCTCGTGGGAGCGAGCGCCGACTGAAAACGGATCGCTGACCCGTTCTATTGTTGAGACATTTCCTATTATAGTCACACACGCGGAAACGGAGTTTGCAACACTTTTATGTCTCTCCGGCGGGTATGCGGGATAAAAATGTACATAATTTTTCCAGTAAAATTAGATACTGATACAAGCCGGGGCTTTAGAAAAACGCAGCGTTATAACTGGAGAAAAATGAGCGTTGATGTAAAAAAAACTGTTTAAGTTCCTTTCGCTGTTATTAATAACAGCGGTTGCGAGAATGAAACATTTAAAATGATTAAGAACATGTTTTTACGAGGAATTACTTTTTAATAATAAATTTATATAATTTTCTTTCTCTTTCCCCCCCCCCCCCCCCGCGGTTCTCTCTACCTTCCGTCTCTGTACGATTTGGAATCTTACTCATTGCAGTTTCGATATTGTAATTATCGCGCGTACTGCGGCTATCGATTGTGATTATTTCACTTTCGTCTAGCTGCACCTATCAATCATGCATTATTGAATCATCGTGCAATTAATAATTACGGATGATTAATGTAAGTTATTGCAGCGTATCGTCGCCATCCGGTGGCTAATTGGCGCACTCGCAATTATTAATGATAATGTTACAATCAATCATTATCACTAATTCTCACGGAATGTACAACACGGAAATTATAGTTTTTACGTCAAATTCGCGGCGCACAATAATTGAGCCCCTCGTCGCAGTTATCCTTGTCATGATATTTGCATGTAATAAATACATTAATAAAGTAATTTTAGCTGTATTAAATCTAAATTAAATCTGATGATACGCTATAATTATCTGGCTCGAAATTGAACTAAATATATATACATATATATAAAATACTTTCGCGCTTCTCCCTCCTTTTCTGAACATAATAGCAAATTGCGGAAACATCGCGCTTTCTCCTTTAACGCGATTCTTTTTTTAGAGGAGATAAAGAAAGAACGGTAGTTTCCGTCTTAGTTTGAACTCATATTTATTAAAAAGTGGAGGGCGGGAGACGCGATTTATAGACCGATATTTTCATACGCTGGTAACGAGCGGGAAGTAGCCGAGGCAATGGAACTTGCGGGTTAAGTGGATGAGAAAAGTTTCCCTAATATTACCGGGAGGCAAGAGAGAGAGAGATTGATCTGCAGGGCGAGAGCTCGTCGAAGGGATTAGTCGTAGCCCCGGCTAGTCCCGTGCGATTTTCATCAGGTGATGGTACTTTAACTGTAGATTAAAGGATTCGTCTGGGCGACCTGAAATGAGATCCTGCCTTCCCTGCGCGAGACCGAAAACCCAAATCAGCCGGGAGACACCGCTGAAAAGGGGGATACGCCATTGACGGCGAATTTACGGGCATTTGAAAAAGATTCCGGCTTGATAGAGTGTCCCCCCCCCCCCCGTGAACCCCCGGCGAATCCACCTGGGCTGCATTTGCGCAAAATACTACGCGATGCGCCGAATCGCGTCGAATTGCGTCGCTTATCTCTTCCAAGGCGGCGGGATTTACTACGCGGGCTCTCCGAGAATCTGTAAATCGTGCAACACGCCAATTTCCAATTTCCAAACTCATTCCGACGGGAAATTGTATATTTTCTCGAATAAATTCGCGCTTTAATCGTTCCCAGTTCTCGCCCGACCGACGGGAGACGCGGGACACGGGTACGTCCGTAATTTCTCAAATGACTTACGGTTCGGCGCATTCATTATTATAAATCGGACGTTAACACACCGCAGGTTTAATTTGCAAGCAGCCGTGAAAACGTTGGACGCTCCATCGATAACCGAGCTGATGACTCTCTCTCTTTCTCTCGCGAGAGAGAAAGAGGGAGAGAAAGAGAGAGCGCGCGCGAATGCCAGGAAGCGCCGTTCGACATTATCGAGACCTGCGATATCCATCAGCCTAATGGTCTCGCGGCTAAGGTGAGCGTGTAAAGCTCATTAAAAGCTCGTTAGAAAGCCGCCGGCACGCCGCGCCGGGAGGTGGCCTGTCGGCAAATCGGTCAGAAAAGTGGCGGTCGAACGCGAGGAGAATAAAACTTATCGAGATAAACCCCGCGATTCACCGTTGCTGCATGCACAAGTGCATTCGCGAGAGTTTTACGCAAGTCAGTGGTTTCTTATTTATCTTCTTACTTATTTATCCCGGCGCACAGAATTCTTCTAATGCGAGCCCTGCTGGGTATTTCAGGCTCACTGACGAATTTAGCGCAAGATATAACCGCGCGACACACTCTTAAGTATGTGAATTTTTCATATATCATTCATATGTGTGTATTAAAAATATATGATAAAATGCATGATATATATACATTATAATACATAGCTGTGTAAAGATTATATACGTCTAATGTATGCATTGTATATTTTTTATGTTTTATCATATATTTTATATAAAAATATTAAAAGGAATATTGCACTAGGTGTTCTAAGTATCTTGGAATTTAGGTTCTCGACGCTTTACCAGCGGAGGTCAAATTGATTTCATTTGCCACAACTGTTAGATCAGATTTCTCGCCACTTCTTGTACACTGCTGTTGGTTAATTTTTAAATACGAGAAAGTGTAACGTGCGATCGCCGCCTCGCGGCAGCGAAGAGCGTTATTGCAAAATTATAAAAATATAATTAAAATATTATTTAGATATATATTTCGCATATATTTTTAGTATAATATATTTTTGACACATATAATATTATATACGAATTTTTTAATAGAATTTTTATGTACCGAATATATGAAATATATTACCATATATTTTCACCTACTTTTTAAAATACTAGAAATGACAAAACGCGCGCTTCGCGCGCGCAGTTTGTGGTTGAACTTTGTATATTTTTAAGAATTTGTATACATGCAAAGAAGTCATTGTATGCGCAACGTCAGTTTAAAATAAAAAGTAATTTATCACTCACTGATACGATTCGCAACAGCAGAGTTGTATGTACATCGTTAACTGTATATGTTAAAACTGTAAAAGTACAAATATGTACATGATTATTATAGATTTATTATGCAAAATCGAAATTATTGTATTAAATATACTTCATATTTTATATTTAAAAAAATAGGTACATATTAAAATAATTATATAAAATATGTTTTATTTTGCACAAGTAGCAAATAACATAAAAATGTAAGACACTTACCTCACCATTTCTCCGCCGTTGCCCGATGTCTCCAAGACCTCCTCCTCCTTGTTGCACTCACACACTCACTCGCGAAAATCATCGATCGCGCGAAATTTCGGGCACTCCCGTCCGCGATGTGAAATACCGCGAAACGCACGAAATATTATTATCAAATATCGCGTGACTTTGTATCGTACAAAATACTCAAACTTGCATTTTTGAGTCGGAAGAATAGGATAATGGATAAATCACTTTTGAATTGGCGATATAAAACACAACGCGAGCATCGGAAGAATAATCTGCGGTAAAGTAAAAAAAATTAGTTATTAGTCCGCAACAAAATGATATTTTACAATCTTTGTCATTCAATCTAATCCTCGAAATAAATTAAGCGAGCAAAATTTCCAGCGACAAATAGTTGTTATTAATTGCAACAGTTAATCGAGATAATTTTCTATTACATTTACATAATGTAACGACGTGCGATATGCGACTTTCTTTACTTCCTGTCCGTTCGAGTTGCGAAGAACGACAGAGCGAATTGCAGCGCGAACGCCGAAGTCGCACAAATTTCTCTCTTTTCCCGAAAATGGAACAGAATATGCGAAATCGACAGATAATCAAAAGCGCGGTGCGTAAACGAGATGTAACCGCGACAAAGTACCACGGTTTACATTCATATTTTAGATGGGTTAGTCTCGTAAAATATCTATGTATACGTTGACAAAGAGCCGTCGCCTCAACACGCAATTAGATCCTCATTACAAGTTGTAGAAACTTACTAATTGATCGAGGAACGTTACTGGTTACTGATAAAGGTGTACAAATCAATAGCGTTTTATCCATATATCCATCGCGATCGAGTCTTGGAAACCGATAACGCAAAAGTAATACCACGCACGGAGCGACTCTCGCCACTGCCTGCCGGCACGACGTTCGGCGAGCGAATGATAGTGCGGCGACCTTCGAGTACACGCTGGCACGCAAAAACGTCGTACGTCACCGCGCCGAGAGACAAACAACAAAAAAACGTTGAGAATTCGTTATCCCGCCGACGAAATCGAAAATTCTGTACTTAATATTTTACATTACTTTGTTCCGTGACAGTTACTACGTTTTGTGTATCATTCTGCGGACTTATTGGTATAGTGATTAATGATTAATGCTGTTCAATCGAGAAAATGTTTGGAAACAAAAATCGTTACTTAAATTCTAATTCCTAAGATCAGAGATTTTATCTCAATAGTTGGTGTATACAAGTGTATATTTCTAAATTGCAAATCTTCACTTACTATGAATCTAAAAGAGAAGTGAAGCGCACACCGCGCTTCGAGAAAACCAATCGGCATCGCGGAAAAGAGGCCTCAACTGTTCGATATTAACGACATTCGCGCTGGGAACATCTCTTTTTTCATTAAGGATATATTTTTTCCCATGGAGAATATTTTGTGCCTCGTGCTAAATATACCGGGAAAAATATCTTCCCTCCTATCTTGGTAGATTATTGTGTACCTCATAGTCACGGTACCTTTTATTTTAACGTATGCCTCGAATTTGGCGGCACTACGCGATACAAGATTAAGAGTGTAGCAACGAAACACTAACCTGTGTCATAGTGTCGCCGTTGACTTTCAATTTAGACTGGAAGTTGCTCTGCTCCAGGAGGATCTTCGCGTTGTTAATGTACACGTCCACGCCGTACTTGCCCGGTCTCCTGGTGATCCACAGGGGTGGGTTGCCCTCCAACTCGGAGGATATCGAGTCCCTTAGCTCCTCGATCGTCAAAGGCCGGTTCGCTGAAATCAACCGAGACGATATCCCGTTAGTATTTTGTAACTCCATAGAAATACTTTGGATGTTTGAAACGTTCCCCCGCGTGTTTTATTTTTTGTTATTGCGCAGATGAATGCGCTTTGAAGGAGCTACTTGAGTTCAGACCACCGCAAAGATCGCGATTTAGTTCTTCGAGACTGCAAAGTTTTTAGCTCCTGAAGATTTTTATTCCCGGTGGAAAGAGACAAAGCGAGAGATGGTAGAGAAAGGAAGTGAGAGGGGGGGGGGGAGAGGGGGAGAGAGAGAAGGACAAGGCGAAGAAAAACGCTGAGAATAACGTAAACGGCGAGTGGGACGGAAAAGAGCTCGAGATAGAGCAACTTCAAAAAGTCCACGGCGAAGCTACAATGCCCGCCGCTTTATTATCCCTTTACCGGAGAACGTTCTCGTAATCTTGAGGTTTTTTCCTCTCATGCGGACAGTAAGGGAATGGGGGGACAGAGACACATCCCCGCTATTGTTATTTGATGTCACGTGAAAGTCACAGCTGTAATAAAAGCTTAATCGAATTTTTAACTACAGTACAATAGTTTCTCTTAGATTCGTACTTTTTCGAATTCTCTAATTCTCCTTGCTTCCGTTTCTTCTCTTTATGAATTTTATTAGCTAACAAGAATCACGAAAGCAATTTGCTTTAGATGTGTTTTGCGCCGACGACGATCTCGCTTCTCAACTCTATCGTGGAAACTAGGATAGAGTTAAAAAGTTAGAGGGATGGAATATATTATAATTTTCAACCCCGTAGAGGCCCGAAGGAACGAGAGCTAAAATGTTGAGCGCACGCGAATAGATAGAAAATTTTATTTGCATTTTCTTCGATTGACCACAAATCGTCGTCCCGCGCTGCAAATTTCCGCGTTTTTCCGAACAAAATCAAAATTGCGCCCCCGGCGTACGAACGAGCGGAAATTATTCTGCCCTATCTCGCTCTAATCTTGGCACGAGAATGTGCACGCCTCCCTCGAGTGCGACCTATCGAATATCGCGGGCAACGGGCATTGTAGTTTCCAAGAACAGCCCTGCTCACGACACAGGCGAGCACCCTATACCGTGTTTCCTCGCGAGCTCGGAAAGTCCAATCTCCGCGAGGAAGAAAGCAGACCGGGCCGGGTAGCACCGCCAACAATGACGCTCATTACGAACGCTAGGAATTGAGTCCCCGTTTCGTAAACCACCGGGCCGTTTTACTCGCGAAAGTTTCCAGAACAAGAAAGCGGCTGACGCCGTAAAACCTCGTTTCCCCCCATCCCTCCCCGACGGCGCGGCGACGATTCTGGCGGCGTCCCTTTAGCGGCGAAAAATAATTTCCCTCGTCCGCGAGTTTCCCCCGGAATCGCGGCAAAACGACGTTTCATTCGCGACTTGGAAATGCCACCTCGCGCTAACGCCCGGCAAATACCTCGCTCCCGCATCGACGGAATACTTTGACACTTTTAATTCCTTCGGGGAGCCGCGTCATCCTCTCGAATTTTTAACGACCGCGCGAGCAGTCGTCGTTGGCGTGTGCGGGCGGGAGAGAGAGAGAGTATTCTTTTTTTTTCAGCCGTGTGTGACTACGGTCGACGACAATTCGCACGCGAGGAACTCCGCCGATTCGCAGTAAAAGTTCCGCGCGGTATGGTAATCGTAAAGTTTATGATCCGCCGCGATATACGTGTATGTCGCCAGGACCAGACGATTACGACATCGGGAGAAGTCCTCATCGCATCGCGCCGAGACTAACGTTTGATGGCTGCGATTCGAGGCGTAAAAGTCGAAGTCAGTCGGCTTTTATAGTACGCTTCGCTCTTCATGATATACAATGCAGTAACGCGATACACAGACCGAGCCCGTTGATCGACCGGAAACGGAATATTTTTGCCAAAGAGAGAGAGAACACATGCCGATAATGCACTGTATACCAGGCATGGCAACCTTTTTCGCTTCGCGGGCCACGTTGAAAGTCGTCAAACTTCCCGCGGGCCGGGTCTTAAAAGTGTTAACATCTCTTCATTTTTATGAGAAAAAAATGCTAAGGCTGTTTTATTGTTAAATAAAACTTTCACGAAGCTAGTCTTACGGTTTTTTCGTTCTTTAAAATTAATTTTTGAAAATGTCGCGTGGCCGATGCCCCTACTTGTATTGAAAAGAAATCAATTGTACGCACAACGATTCATCTATCGGGAGATTCGCGCGCTCGGGCGGCTTTTGCGAGCTGCGCCTTATTAAGATAAATTCCTTTCGATACGCCTGCACTTTTTCAACGCGGAGCGACTTCCGGCTTATCCCGTACGCACGTATCGGGGGGGAAATTCGCCGCTCCAGAACGATGTATCGTGCCACGCCATATAACGCTTTTATATCTCCGTGACGCCTCGTCAATCACCTTCCCGAATGGTTGCATGCTTGATCATTCTTCCGCTAGGTGAGGAGCTTCGGAAGGGAATACGCGAAGCGCATGTGCAAAGCGCTGTAGCTTCGATATATTACAGAGCGCCACGCGTGTGAACGTAAACCCGTTCTGTCCGGCAGCTGTTCCAGGTGTCCCAATTTTTTTAAGATCAAATTTAGAAAAAGTCAGCGCTAAAGGCCTAGCAAGTGTCAACGCGGACTGGACTGGCGATTGTCTTCCAGCCAATGAGGGCAAAGCAGCCAGCGATTTTAATCGACTCTCATTGGCTAGAGGACAATCGTCAATCGCCAATCCTAATCCAATCCGAGTCAGCAATTGCTAGTCTAGATTGGATCGACGATTGTCTTCTGGCCAATGAGAGCAGAGCAGCCAGCGATTTCATCGACTCTCATTGGCTAGAAGACAATCGTCAATCGTCAATCGCCAATCCCAATCCAATCCGAGTCAGCAATTGTCTGATTCGGCCTTGAGGCACTTTGGAGGCCGGTTGTTCCTTTTCTTATTTCATTATCGCGCGCTTTCTATTGTTCTCGATTGATTTTGGAGTTCGTTACAAACGTCTACCACTTATTGCCACCTCGAATAAACTCGGCGCGCAAACGAACCGCTAAACTCATCAGTCGGCTCGCCCTAAATATGCGGAGAATCTCATAGGAAAGCAGGACTTTCGCGGATCGCCGGTAACCCCGCTGTAAGTCGACATAGAAATGCGAGGCACGTTCGGAAACTGGTTAGGAGCGGTGATCGTATTATCGCGGGTCGAACGAATAGGGCTTTATTCGCGCCGACTGGATTTTTATAGCGCGTCTCCCGGCGCATTTTTCTTGTTGCGCCCGGGAGTGCTTTATGCGGCCGTGATCGACTCGCGGAGGGCGCATGTACGCCTTTCAGAGGGCAATATCTCTGGCTTCGGGGTTCGGGGCTCGCGCCGAGCATTTTGTCCCAGCAACCCGGAGCCTTTCCGCTGCTCTTTCAACGAGGGAGAGGACGCGGGGGGGGGGGGGACGAGGGGGAGCCGCCCGAATGATTAAGCTGCCGATCGATTCGCATTTATTTTCTGCCCCCGTAAACCCCGCGCGCGATGGTGGGCGATGCGGGGCACAGGTGCTACGGCCGACCGCAAAACGAGAACAACTCGCGCAAAGCTGCTTGCGCATCGATTTATATCCCCCAGCCCGCCTGCCTTCATCCTGACGTCTCTACTCGTCTCCTCTGTCCCTTTTCGACGTAGCCCCGAAATCCGGCCTTCGGGCATGCACGTCGGTTGCGTGCGATGAGGACGAACTTGCGCGATGTCCTGTCGAATGTTTATGCGGACCGCGATAGACATAATCGGATATTTTGCCGTATTCGGGAGAAAAGTTATTTTTCCGGTGGTACGACAGAGTGACGGATTATAAATGAAACACAAAGGACACTCGAGATGAAAAACGTCTAAGCTAATTCGCGTGGATGTACAAGTTAAGTCGCAATAATTGTATCAAGTTAAAGAAAATCTATAATGATCTGCAAGTGGTTCAATTACTCCGCGAGTCTCTATTGATTAATCTCTTTAATTTCTGGAATTTCTAAGTTGTCGCGTTGCTCAATTCTCAAAAGGAGTCAAAATGCTGCGTCAATTACAACTCGAGCTTTACGACAATGTACTCTTCGTGACGATGAAGCTCTGGTTGGTGATGGACAAATAAAAAGCGCACTCGAAGAACAGATTGATTCTTTTTTCCGCAAGCGGCGCGATAAAAATTAAATAGAGAAAATATCAAGATTTATCGCGGTGGACGAAACTCGTTGATTCGTTGCAAAAATTTGAGAAGCGTAAGATTCGTAATAGCTCGTCCTCAATCGTATTATTTTTATAAATAAATCGTTTAATTATTCAAGAGTTTCGTACGGTTGCATTTTAGAAGTGAATCTTGACACATGCCGGTAACGAGACGAGTTAATTCGCCTCCACAGAATTACAATTGCATGGCACGCGGGCGATGTCTTTAATTCATAAATTCTAAATGATCAAATTAATAAACGGATATAAGTAAAGACATAAGCTACCACCGTTTCGCTCTACTCGCGTCACATTCATTCTGAAATTAATTCGCACTCTGCTTCCACTTTTCCTCAAATGTTATCGTACTCAATCATTCCACCCACATTTGGCAAGCATAGCTGAAGAAAGTCAACGGCACGCGATACTAATTTTCCTACCGGATTGCTCACGAGAACCAATCAGAATTCAGCCTCAAGTCAGCTGATCTAAAACTCTGCGTCCTTGGCTCTCGTAAAAGTAAATTGTATAGTATAAAGCATAGTATAACTAGTTTCTCTGTCGGCCCCTTTGATCTTCGCGGTCCCGATCATTCTTATATGTTTATCTTATGTTCGCAGAACATTCGACTGGCGCTACTATAAATCTTTTTCGAATGTGAATCTATCGAATATAGCGTGTCGGTTATACATAGTACGATCACAGGTTTCATTGCCTTTTGCATAAGATAAGTGTATTACACAACAAACAATGTGCAATACATAAGCTCAATGAATGTTAAAAAATTATTCTGAACGAATATTCCAAAGCCATTCTCGACGAATATTCTAAAAACGCACTTCTTTGTTATGAATATAGGACTTCTAATTGTAATAATCTATATGTATTTATAGAATATTCGATTCGAATGTTCTGAAATTAAGAATATTTGCACGCCAAGAAAAGATTCATAGAACTATGTGTGCTATCTGGGAGGGTTGGGAAGTAACTCGTTACTTGTAACGAAATTACAGTTACAGTTACTGTTTTTTTTGGTAATTCTAACTTGACTTCATTACTTTCTCTCCATCTGTAACTGTAACTTAACGCAGTTACATTTTTTCGATAACCAGTAACTAATTTAATAGTTACATTAATAGTCACTTTATATATATTTTTAACCTCTACAGATCGCATTAGGTCTTGCATTTGCGCATAAACGCTTTTATCGACACTTTATATAATTCAAACGCGGATTTGATATTTTTATTTTCATTGCAAGAAAGTAACTGCGAAGCAACGATTCGTTACTTTTTGAGTAACTGTAACGCATTACTTTTCAGAATTGGTAACTTGTAACTGTAACTAGTTACATTTTTAGCGAAAACACTGTAACTGTAACTAGATACTTTTATTAAGTAACTTTCCCAACCTTGATTTTTAACCAATCACAGAACCGTATTAGCATCTTAAGACAACCCTAGCGGAAAAAATTTCTATAAATAACTACAAGAATTGACTTGAAATAGAAACTTTTATATCTTCGTTGAAACATTAATTTTTTTGTAAAAATATCTACGAAATACTACCACAAATTACAATGTTCTCAAATCAAGAAATTATTGCAAGTAGTATTTCATGAAAATGTACAATTTTGTAAAAATTAGTACAAAACTTTACTAGTTTAAAAAATTTGAGAAACAACAAAATCTTAAAGAATTAAAACGTCTGCTTACTTGTAGAATATTACAAAAATTAACAAAAGTGTTCCAATTCTAGCATTTTCATGTTAATTTTTACAACACTTTTTAAATTTACGTACAATTTCTTCGATTCTGGTAGTTATATTTTATAGTTTTGTAGAATTTTGTAGAATTATTTGCGGCAGGGAACACTTAAGATGATATTGAAATAAGGTTGATGGGGCAGAGAACAATCCGTAAACGCTTAAGACTGTCTCAGTCGTAGACGTAGGGCAAGTCGTATACAATAGCCTTTCACGACTTACGTTTCTCTCTGCCTTGCCCTACGTCTACGACTGAGACAGTCTTAAGCGTTTACGGATTGTTCTCTGCCATCAGCCTAAGAATCGACTATGAATACCGGCCTTAATCACAAACGTTACGCACCATTTATATCCGCACCGTTTACGGATGTAAACGACTGCAAACGACGAGCACCGTGCGACGAGCGACCGGCGGGCACAAGTGGCTCCAACCAGATATCGTCTCGGCACATGGCGCCAGCTAGCGGCACAAGAACATTTCCGTGCCAGCTGACAGCTGCCGTGCGTGCAGTTGCGTACGGCCACGCGACCGGTTGTTCGGTGCGCGTGTTCGCGCCGCGAGTAATTCTCGGTTCTCTTATCTGCGCGGTGGAAGGCGGGTGCGCTTAAAGACGAATATAGACCTGGCATCTCGTCGACGCCGGTCGCGGAATGGAGACCGTTTCTCTGTCCAAGGTAAGCGATACGACGCGTGCAACCTGTTGCTATCGCCGGCTTAACCTCAAAGTGGCAAAGTTGGCGCGCGCGGAAACGCCGAATGATGATTCATAGGCCGTCGCTTTCGTGCGTCTGAAAAGTCCATCGGGGACCCTCGTTTTCTTCCCTGTACAACGTTATCTACACGTCCTCGATTAACTTCATCCCAGTGAGAAATGATTCGTCGAAACGCCGGGATTTTCTTATAAAATTTTTTGTTCGCGACTCTTCCGAAATATTGGCATTTAAAATGTTTAAATCGAGGGGTAAACCGCTGACCAAAATCGTGTACACCATTGCGTCTACCAATGCCCAGGGGGCGTTACTTTATCTTAGGGTTGGAAAGTAACCCGTTACTTGTAACGAAGTTACAGTTACGTTTGTTTTTTTTGTAACTAACTTAACTTCGTTACTTTCTCTCCATCTGTAACTGTAACTTAGCTCAGTTACACTTTTTCGATAATTAGTAACTAATTTGAGAGAGAGAGAGATAGTCGCATTAGTAGTTACTTAACATTTTAAACCTCCACAGATTGCATCTGGCCTTGTATCTTCGCATAAACGCCTTTATCGGCGCTTATAATTGAAATACAGATTTGATATTTTTCTCTTCATCGCAAGAAAGTAACTGCAAAGTAACGATTCGTTACTTTTTGATTAACTGCACAGTTAAAAAATTTGTGTTAAATTTAACAGATATCACATGTCCCAAACGGTCCAAACAAATATTTGTGTTAATTTAACATAATATGGATATGTTCAACGATCACACTAATACTCTGTTGATATTTTAATACAAAATTAATGCAAATCTCAAAATAATTTGAAATTGATTTTGTCGTAAAATTAACACATTTTTAATGACAAAATGAATTTCTTAAATGTAATTTTTACATTTTACAGATGTAATAAGTCAAGTGGCGGTTCGAAGTCACTCTCGCTTATGTTATACACATATAGAATAAAATCACCATTTTATCCTGTAAATTTGAACTGATAAATCTTGTTACTAATAATATAGAACGTATGTATTGTGTCAGATTATAAAAATAAGTACACATTGTGTTGTTTCAACATTTCTCTTCAGTTATTTTAATAATTTTGCGTTTGAGGTCAATTAACACAAGAGCAGCATGTTAAATCAACACATGAATGTGTTAAACATTTAGCGCAAAAATTTTAACCGGCATTTTTTTAACGAGAAAACACAAATTTTCCAACTGTGTGTAACTGTAACGCGCTACTTTTCAGAATTGGCGACTTGTAACGGTAACTAGTTACATTTTTAGCGAAAATACTGTAACTGGATACTTTTATAAAGTAACTTTCCCAACCCTGCTTGATCTTATTATCTTATTGTATTTTCTCTTATTTATCTTGTTTTCTCTTATTTTATCTTTGCAATGCCCCAGCAAGGCCGAATGCCCAACAAATGCCTACACAGTTGAAAAATTTGTATTAAATTTAACAGATATCACATGTCCCAAACAGTCCACACAAATTTTTGTGTTAATTTAACATAATATGGATATGTTAAATGATCACACTAATACACAAAATAAATGCAAATCTCAAAATAATTTGAAATAAATTTCGTGTAAAATCAACATTTTCATCTGTAAATTTTAACAGATAAATTTTGTTACTAATAAAATAGAACATATGTATTGTGTCAGATTAAAAAACAAGTACACATTGTGTTGTTTTAACATTTCTTTTCAGTTATTTTAATAATTTTGCATTTGAGGTCAATTAACGCAAGGGCACTATGTTAAATCAACATATGAATGTGTTAAACATTTAACACAAAAATTTTAACCGGCATTTTCTTCAACAAGAAAACACAAATTTTCCAACTGTGTAGTAATGCCACAAATCCGTACACCACAGTGCCCTCAGTGGTTTACACCCCTCGGTTTAATTTCTTCAAGATCGCATATTGAAATTTAATTAACGGTAATTACGACGGCCGTTGAAAAGGTTGATATACGCGAGGGAAATATATGAGGAATTGGTTCTCAATTTTCTCTATTCGTACGATTCAACGTATATTAATTTATGACTAATAAGTGCAGCTCAATCGTCAACTCTCAAATGACGATAATATATCAGTTTAGCGATTACGATATCGATCGTGATGCCGATCGTGATTTTTAGGGAGTATTTGCTCACAAGGGAAGTTACAAAATTGGAAGGAAGAAAAGGAACGTTAAATGCCCGGCGTATCTCAATGAACCATGGTACATCGCGTACAACGAAACGTGGGCATATATCGAGCAGGCTGCCGAGGTAAACCGCCGCATGTTAGCCGGCCATAAATCTCAATCGAGGGGCGGACTATTTAACAGAATACATTTTAATATTTCAGAATGTCAGATCGAAAATGTTCCAACAAGTTATATCCAATTTGGAATCCTTCGTGTCGAAAATAAAAGCGACTCCATTGAATGTGTCGCCCCACGAAATAGCGACGGCTATTTTGTTAACAGGTGAAAAACAAACGTCGTATATTTTTTTAAAAGATTACCATATTTTTCAGTCGACATTTAGATAACCAAAGTCGATTGAATGTGCCTCGTGATAATTTTTCTCTATCGAGGGCCCTTTTCTGTGCCTGAGGGATTTTTCCTTCGCGATTAAATAATTTTAATACATTTAAGCGAATCACAGCTGATAAGTGAAAATTATAGGAGTGAATGTCCCCGATCATACGACGCTTTTCGACACGACAGTGTCCAAGCTCGGTAAGATCACGTCGCACTTAGCGGTGGTTTGGAGCAGAAATTGCAACGGCGTGAAAAGCATCATCGAGGACACCGTGTATCAATTTCTTCGGGGCGCGACTTACAGATCGGAATTGGTTAGTTTCGCGATAATAGCGGGAACAGGCAGTCCTGTTGCAATATTTCAATAAGTTGTCCTTCGTAGAATGATGGTCCCGAAGTGCGTAAAAGCCAATGCACCATGCGTGTTTTAAAAAAGTCCTTTGCGGAGAACCACGATCCCGAGGATCCCTTAGTTGTAATCCTGCCGGATTTTGAAAGCTTCTCCACTAATGTGTTACACGACTTCATCCTGGTGTTGAGGTATTAGCGACGTTTCAATGCCATGCGCGTAAAAATTATTACAACGTGCTTTCTGCATCTAGAAACGTTCTATTTTATAGAGATCCTGGCTGAGGTAATATTTTTCGCAATAAGAATAATTTACAGTACGAGAAAGGGTGTGGGGGGATATTGAATGCCAAACGTAGCATTTAAAATATAATTACAAATCGTTTATCGATTTGAATATGTGAATTTGCTGACGACAATAACCCCACCCGTTAAGAATGCTGCGTTATGTCCGAAAGGAAACCGGCGCGCAGGACAAATGTGGAAAGAAACGGCATATAAATTCGTCTTTTAATAAATTACAAGTATTAGGCTACCTATACGTCTTACGTTAGACTCGCACTGGCCGATTCTCGTGTGTTGTTCAACTCTATTTTATATAAGCGAATCGAAACGCTTGGAAACTTTGCCGACAAAGTACGATTACACGATGTATAATACACAATTTATCAGCTCGCGCACATTTTTTAAACGTATTTCTCGACTATAGAATGTTTCTAGACGCGGAGAGCACATTGTAGATTAGGCTTACGTGTTTTAAACGACATCGTATAATGAGTAATTTTCAGCTCGTACAGAAGCACACTCAAGTTCGTGCTTATTTTCGGTGTTGCGACCACGTTGCATATCGTGCATAAATCATTGACGTACGACGTTACATCAAAGTTAGTGGTGCAGGCAAGTAAAACAAAAGCGTCCAGCGCAAACGTTTGTGCGATGGCTTTAAATAATTCGCCGTCCCCCCCCCCCCCCATTTGTTCAGGTATTCTACACACAGACGCAAGTGAAAACGCTGTCCGATGTGTTGGAGGGTACTGTTTTCTCCACGAAGATTCCGTTTAAACTGATCGGCCGCGCGTTTCAATTGCTGACCGACATTTTTCTGTTTTACGACTTTTCGGTAGATAACTTCCTACAAAATTACAAGGTAACGAAACGATCGCAGTGAAATTTAGCAGGTACGTTGACAATCGACTGACTGCCCGCAAGGTGATTTTCAGATATGCATGATACAACATTTTTACGAGAACAATGTAAGCTCCCTGTGCTGTCAACCGGAAGACATTAAGGACAGAATGTCCAAGCTCACTGACGAAAATATCGCGGAAATTAAGAGTTTACCGTCCATCGCTAAATATTTGAAAACGTCCAGTGAAATGGCGAATGGAGGTGAAGGGCTCGGCGATGAAGAATTCATGGTTTGCATAGTTTATTTACGAGAATCAATAGGGATTGCAAAAATCGTCGCTATCAGTAACGAGAGGATACATACCTTTAAAATATTATGTAATCCAATTTACGCCATTGAAAAATTTTAATACAACCGTCCAGCCTTCAGCTGTTTAATATTGGAAATGAAATAGACGAGAAATTTAGAATAGAAATGAGACTTTTATGTGGTACTTTTATAACTTTTACTACGTGTCTCTCGCTACCTCAATGGGAACCGTTACTGATGCGGATTCTTGATAATCTCGTACGTTTCCGAACCACCTCTTTAAGCTCCGCTTTTTCTAGAAACTGTTGGGGCAATTGTTAAATAAATTTCATGGATTTATGGATCAATTTTTAATTGTTTTGAGATGTTTGCACTGCCTGATTGCGTCATTGCCAGGCTCGCCGATGGGCAAACAGGTAATGTGGCACTTTATTGACTCATAATGAAATTATTTCGCAATAAGCGAGGGAGTAATTGTATCAGGCTTAAAAATCGTCCAACAATGTGACAATCGTTTCAGTTGCGGGAGGTTTATACCAGAGCGGTTTACACGAATGACCTCACGGAATCCACCGAATACAAAGAGTGTCTGAAATTACTGGGATTTTTGTCGAAAGAGGAACTCCTCTCGAAACTCGAGTCTGTCGTAACAATTGTCGAGGAGTCCAAAGATCCGGAAATGAAGAAAATTAAGATCACCCTCGACAATCACATCGCGGCGATTCGAGAGGCTAGTTTAAGCACCACGGCGACTTCTTCCAAAATCATCACCGTGGAAGAGAAACTCAGTCGTATGCAACTAAAGGAGGTGTGTGTAAGATCGTACTCTCCTAACTGTCCTTCCTATCAACCCTCGCGCCAAAAAAGTACGAGTACTTTGAACCTTACGAGATTTGTCACAAATTAAAACGATACTGTGAGTCAAGTCTGGTAAGATCTGAGACAACGCACAAATGAATTATCGTACAACTTTCTGCAACGGCAATTTATCGTTTTACGCGAAATCACGAATTCCCTCTCTTTCTCTAAACGTATACGTTGCCGCAATCGAATACGAGCGATCGGATCTTCGCGGTTCAGAGATGAAGATCGTCGAGGAAGACGGGAGGACGTGAGGACTGGTGGGGCCCCGTTCAACTATCACGCACCCTCTTTTCAGAAATTGCTCAAAATGAGTCAGCAACAGTCGCGCTCCGCTTACAAGCAGGCGCAGTTTGACCTGATCGATTACCTGGACCGAAAAGTATTCTCCGTTCATCTGATCGATCCGAGTCGCGTGACGGCTCACGAGATATTTTGCTACGGCGACGGGAACCAGGCGAAGCATCACATTCGCGGCTCTTTGCGGGCCGCCATGCACACGGGATTGAGCGATCCGCAGATGTATCTGGACGTGAGTGAAGGAAGCTCCGTACAAAGCTCGCTCGCGCGCGCGATTTCAACTCTCTTTCTCTCTCTCTCTCTCTTGTCGCGCAGCGCAAACGTACATCGCAAACTCGTCCGCAACTGGTCTCGAGAATTGCGAGAAATTAAATTTTTTAATAATATAGACGGATACCTGCGCGCGCGGTGTCGCTTTTCATGTCTGATTTATTGAATATGCGACAATTTTTCCGTCTCTTGAATTACGATTTGTGACGCGCGTTAAATGCCTGCGTACGAAGTCGAACTATTCTTTAATTATTTAATTATTCTCCCATCTTCGACCTATTTTCTATCGTCGGCCTCCCAAAGTTTTCGATATTTTTTATGCTAACCGAAATTTTGACATCGCAATTCGTTTTTCCCGCCGCGCGCACCGTCGTCTCTTTCACTCTCTCTCTCTCTCTCTCTCTCTCTTTCTCCCTCTCTCGCGAGAGATTTAATCTTCTCTTGTATGTGCGACTGTAAAAAAAATCAGGCTCATTCGATTTTCCGTGGACTGCGCGGCGCGGTTAATTGGCGACGTATATTTCAGTGCGACTGCTGCAAATTGGAGAACGACGACGACATCCCGCGCACGCTCCCCGATCTGAGTATAATTTATAAGCTGCACTTGGAGTCCAGGAAGCTGATCAATATGTACGACTGGCTGCAGGTAACAATCCGGCCTGTGCTCATGTTTACAGGTTAATCCCTGTTACACTTACGGTCACGCACCCGGCCGTCTCGTGATTTTAATCGCCACCGCCGCCGCCGCGAGTGATTCACGCGAGCACGTCATTGTAAGCAAGGCGCACACAAGGGGTGCCGAGTGCTTTATCGCCGGCCGGTTGTTAGGAAGCCGGTAAAACGCTTCTCATGAAAATTGCACCGGTGAAAACGTGCTCTCCGCCGAGCGGTTCAACGACGCCGATCGGAGATCACGGGATATATTACGCTTAATATAGGAAGAATTTAAAATTTTCTAATAAAATCCCGGTGAGGATTTTATAAAATTCCCCCCGACGTGTGATCCAACACTTGCGTTTTCAGCGTCCTTAAGCTTGATTTTCCTTTTAAAGATGTTCATCGATATATTTTCCGGTTTCTAAACCATCCCACGTTCCCATCCTTAGATTACAGAGAAAAATCCCCTATTACGAGCCGGGATTCTCATTTGGGATAGCAGGGTTTCTGTTAAATTAATTGAAAAACAACCTTTTTTTTTTACAAAAAAACGTCAAGTATAAGCGCCATTCAATCAACAAGTATATAATTTAATTATTTGGATATGTTTTGTTAGAAAAAAATACATTTTTATTGTCTCTGCAAAAGTAATGATATCGTCAAATTGCGTCAACTAAAATGGATATTTATACAAACTAGATACTCAATTATTTTTTTATATTAAAATGTTATATCCAAACAATCGAGCATACGATTTTACCGAAAGAAATAAAGGAGACAATAATATTAATGAGACAAATTTTGAATACTTATTCAATAAAAATGTAATGCAAGCAACTTTAATACAAATAAATATTTTATTAAAAGATTTATTGCCCTCGGAGCGAAATCCGTTTAGTGGAAAATTCATCGTTAGATCGTGTAATCGTTGCGAAAAAAGATTTGTGATTGAATTCGGGTGTTGAAAACCCGCTATCTCATATTAGAAATCAATCTCGCACTCTCCCCTATTAATTTTTAAACCTTGTGCGTCGAGCCTAGACACGCCGCGAGGTGACGCACTCGATACTTTTGCTTGCAGGCGTTCCTGACGATCGTGGATCCGCAGGCTCAGTCTACGGAGCAACGCGACGTGGATCCGCAACTGCAGTATCCTTTACAAAAGTTTCTGCGAGCGCGCGCGGCAGCCCGCGCGTATATTCAACGTGATCGGTACTCGTTGAGATTTGTCTTACCTGCGCGCCGTGCCTTTGAAATTCATATCACGCCTCCTAACGCGAGGATCGTACCCCGTAGACGTAACTTGCGCGAACTAGATACCCTCCCTAGTTTGAATAATTCGCACGTGTTATCTCGCATTTCATCATGTAGTAACTTATCCTTAACGGGGATTCAGAGCTCGGTTTACTCAAGCGGTCGCCGCTCTGCAGTTTCTCGGCTTCATCAAGACTTCTCGAAGGAAGACGGATCATGTAAAGCGCCTTACGTAACAATAATATCGCGCGTTTGATTGTTTGCTCGGCTCGTCCGCGCGGCTTATTACGTATGCGCCGCCGTATGAATATGTGTTCCTGAGTTATTCTGTTTTTGTGCTATTTATACTAATGAATAAATTAATATTGAAATGAATATATTTGAACGTTTTCCACCGGGCAATTTAACTTTTTCAGTACGCCGAAGCATGCGGGTGTGTTTGGCTTTTTTTTCGAATTTTAACATTACCGACAAATTAAAAAACGAATAATGTATTCGCCATAGAGGTGGTAATTTTAAAACGTTTTGTTTGGTTGTGCCATGGATTTCAATTGAATAAAATATAAGCAGAAAATTAAATGAGTTTTTTTTAATTATATAAAAATTCCCCCGAGAGTTTTGATATATTTATTTCTTTCTAAAGTTCGAGAATATTAATAAAGCCCACTTACCGCGCGTAAAAATGAATCGCATCTAACAGTGAATTTGCATCTAACCAGATTTCCAAAGGCAATAAATTCACGGTGGAACCAGATGACGCCTCAATTGATTTAGCAGAAACCCCGCTATCTCGTATTAGGGGCCTGCCTCATAATAGACTCCTCTGCGATTATTAAGACACGGGGGAAAGAGATGCGAAAATCACACACGCAACCGCCTGAAACTAATGCATCGATACACGTAATACATCTAACAATAAGTTTACGAATTAAGACAATCGAAGACGCACACATCCAGATTACGCGCGCGCATCTTTTTATTTGACAGGCTATTTCTTATCGTTTTCACCGATTCTCTCGTGATCGCCGTACGATCGAGGCTTCGTTGCCTGCATACTGATTCCGCCCGTCTCTCGGAATCCACGACGGAAGTTGTTACACGCCGAATCCACGGTGGAATAATTTAACGGCTTGCACGCATATTGATGACGGCGCGTCCTGTATCTGCACAAGTTCCCGGGCTACCGCGATCTTGAGACACTTAAATCCCAGGTAGATCGACACGGCGGGTCGATCATTTCTCCCCTCGGCGTCCCGGGCCTTCGAAAATCCGCAATATCGATTACGCCCCGTCTTTGTGGCGGGGCGTCGAGCGTGCCGCGCGTTCCACGGGGTTGCGGGGGAAAAAAATTGGGCCGAGAGCGCGCACGGCAATCGTTTCCGCATTTTAACGTGGACGAATATCGATTAATTGGATTCTCCCCCGCGACGGGCCTTTTTCTCGCCCGGCGACGCGGACGGAAGTTAACATTCCGCGCGACGACCTTTCACCCTTTCGCCCACCCCCGGCGGCGAGCGAGATTCATTCGCGATCGAAAAATTCAGCCCGAGAATTCTTATGGGTCTTCCAAATAAAATTATAGCCGTGCCGCAGCCGTAGAGGCAATTAACTCGTCGAACGATGGGAAGCGTGACTTTTCAACGACGACTCAACGTGGTTACGTAACGCCATTAGTTTATCTCCATTTAACGCACATCCGAGTCCCATGGTTTCTGTTACATTCAGGAGCGCGACAACATTATCGGCTCCCGTTACGCCGTACCATTACGTTTCCTCCGAACACCCGTTTCGATCTATTGTCAGAAGTATCGTGACGTAACGCGGTCCGCGGCGCGGGCTCTGTGGGATAATGTTTGGACAAAGCCAAACGGAGATCTCGCGTCGCGGTCAATCGTAGAATTATCCCGTATTCAAAGGAGAGTACATGGGGGCGGGGAGGAGGAGGAGGAGGAGGGAGGGGGGGGGAGGAGAATTCAGCAGAGGTTAACGTCTGTGTCTCGATAAGGGATGCTCTTGGTGCACGGAGTACGTTAACCCTCGTTTCCGCCTTTGACCCTTACCGAGAAAGGAGGCCCAGGGAGTGCGGAAAGGGATAAGCTCCGTCTGTGCATAGTATCCTTCACTGCGCCGGCAGTAAAGCTCAAGGATATAGAGTAACCTCGGTGTCAAAGGAGCGAGAGGCGTGCGCGACCTCTCGTCGCAAGATTTCCTGGGAGATCCTCTCGCGCGCGGACGAGTCCCCTCATCGACATTCGATTTTTAGAACGTGAAAAATTTACGGGACACAGGCCTCCGCGAGCGTCCCCTGAATTGTCCGTGTGAAATTTTTAAGACGCGAGGCCCGGCGGATCTAGAAGCGAGGAGATCGATTATCCGATGCGGTATTCGATTTGTAGGACACCTAGGAATCCGGGGAACGTTAAGATCCTCGAACGGCCGGCGCGCACAATCTCTGTACACGATACAGTGGAAAAAAAAGGAGGGGGGTGGGGAGGGAGACTTGGGTCAGGGAGAGAAGAATTTCGCCGAGTTATAGAACGAAGGCAATGAAACCCGGAAATTCTCCCGGTTCATGCCCGGAGAGCGTCAGAACACAATAATTCCGATGTCAAAGGAGCCGGGGAGTTCTGCGAGCCGGTTCTGCGGGGGATTCCGAGGAGACTCCGGTCTATTGGCCTCCGTGGAGGACTTCGGCTCGTATGCAGATGAATGGAGATACGACGCAGCCGCTTGCATATCCACTTTGCCTTTCAAGTTGGGGCGCGCGACGGCGGGGCCGGACGGGCGGTATCGATTCGACGTCGTTCCCGAAGGCCTCGCTCGGATTGACGGCTGTCTTAGTTCAAACGGACCGGCGGGACGCATGTCGAAGATTATGCAGATTCGCAACTTTACACTCGCGCGAAATTAAAGGGAGCGGGGGTGAGGGGGAGACAGCTCGAACTTTTATTTTCGGCTCATACGTCGCGATAGCTCAGGGTTAATCTCCATTAATCAATCTCAATTAACAGCGCTGGACCATCAGCGGACATTGGAGCGAACTCGGGAGTTCCGGGCCGTCTGCGTACATTTTCTACGTGACTTCCGCTCGACGAGAGGCGGCTGCCGCCGAGAGATAAATCCCTGAAGAAGTTTTGTCTCAATAACGTCAAATACGCCAAATCTGTTCCGTTCCTTCTTCTTCTTCTTCCTCTCTCTCTCTCTCTCTCTCTCTCTCTCTCTCTTTCTCCCTCTCTCTCTCGCTCTCTCTTTCTCTTTCTCTGCCATGTGTCTCGCGCGCGAGATCTTATCCGCATCCTTTCCTCACCGCTATCGATCCTCGCGCGCTTCCGCGCGAGAATCGCCCCGGAGAAAAATCTATTTGCAAGAAAAATCTATGAGAGTCCACTTCTCTAACTCGACCGAACTGCAGATACGGACCGGGAATCAGTTTTCCGGGCCGGGACTGCCTAACCTTTCTCGTAACCTTCGTGCTCAATCGACGACGCGACCCCGATATCCTTTCGGCATCCTCTTTAACTTGTCGCTATCGTTATATCGGATCTGCCCCGGCGACGATCGACGGAGAAACCAAGACTTATTCTTTATCTTGGCTGCGTGCACAAATCGGCTATATATATTTTCAAGTCGCGGCGATTTCTCTCGTTTGAAACGCGCAGTCCTTCCGGCAGGATAAAACGAGCGAAACTTTATGTTGGGCGTTTCCGCTTCCCTCGGCGAAAAGCCCTTTTCTATCATCTCTGAAAAATTACTCAGCTCCCTCCCCATCACTCTACTTCGCCAAGGTAAATGAATTAAAATAAGTTGACGGATATTCGCTGTGTGTACAGTCTGTATAATTGAATTGCTTATCCTTCTTTGAAATCAAGGACCGGCTTTTTAAATACATTACTCAGCTCCCTTGTTACTTAACGCCAGTTTTGTCAAACTTCGGGGACTCGAGATTTATCCCCCGCAGTTCCTATGTTCCTAACACCCGGCGCCTATCCAGCAAAATTCACTGATGATAAACCGCGTGTGCACGAATGCGGGAACACGGGTGCATTTCTATTTTTCGACGGCGCAGCTTAAAATTAACGTGTCACACGGGGGTAGGGCGGTATCTCGCGGATAAACGATGCTGAAGGGAGGACCGACCGATGTGGTTCGCAAGTACCTACCAATTACCAATTATAATTGCACACGGACTAATTGGTAAACACTAATAATAACGACGCGCACTCATCAATCAGCAGCTTGGGAACCGGCCACGTCGCACGCTAATAATCGTTTGCTCGTGACCCGTATACATCGTTCGTCAGACACATCGTATTTTTAACTCGTCGCCATCGTGAAATGCAAAATAGCTCTCTCCGCGCGGATATAACTGCCGCTATGCCGATATTAGCCGATTGTTACTCATATTCCGCTTACGTAACTAGACGGAAATATTCACGTATATTTGTGAGCTCGATAAAATATTTAAGGAAAATGATCTCTTCTTCGATTTTCAAGTTAAATATGTACGTATACATATGCTCTTTTTATACGAATTCTGGTATATTTCTGCTTGACACGTCTCGCTCGCACAATCTTCTTAAATCTCTCAGTTATGGTAAACGAATCAAAGCCACTGACAATGAGATGAGCTTTGAACGCGGTTATAAAATGAACTTATTCGTGCCATGAGATTTCCCCTATTGTAAATGCACGTTTTGTATAATAAAATATTGTCTTCCAGGTGATAAATTCTTTTTTACAATATATCGGGAGAAAAATAAAAAATTTGCTCCATTTTCCTTCTACTTATGTATATAGAACATTATTATTAGGACAATGTCCTTGTATACGCAATTCCGCTTTAATTTCACGTTTACTTAAAGTGGAAAAGCCACTTCTTTCCGTTATAATATCGCGGAATTTAGAACGTCCATGTTTTGCAGTGCATAATTGATACGATTTTCTTATACGTATGTGTGCGTCTATTCGCCCAAATGACTGTTACATAATTACACTTTTGTAAACTAAAGTCTCAAGTATTTAAGGATTAACGCGCGTATCTCGCGCAACAATCTGTGCAGTACAGGACCGCTATCTCACTTCTCTTCCTGTATAAATGCTGCGACACACGACGATTCCGAGTTCCCTGGGAGACCCCGCGAATACCGTAGAAAGCTACCCTCGGGTATCTCGAAATTTCTCGGCGCAGATGACTACATTTCCCACGGGAAACGGTCCTCCTTCTCGGACTTATTTTCGTCCAAGATGAAAGGAAACTTGCGGTGGTGGTCATAGAACGTCGCGACGGCGGCGGGTGGGGAGGGGGGGGAGGGGGAGGAGGAGAGGTCCACGGGGTCCTTAAGGGATCCCGGCCGCCAGCCGTTTTCCGACACGGAAATCAATCTCAACAGCTTCTCGTATCAATCTCCCATCGCACCTGAAGCACCCAATCACGTCGGTGTCGGGGTGTCCTCCGCCGCTCGTCCATTCGGGAGGAAGTTCGCCTGAAAATCCTCGTGAGACGCGAGAGACTACCCGATGACGGGAAGGAAGAACAATGTCGCCGTGCTTGAACCGCTCGCCCGGACGAGCGGTGGATA